TTGGAGGTGACTGACAGAGCTGGCTGTGGCCCTGTCTAATCCTCCCCCTCTGACTAATGGGCAAGACAGGGAGGAGGGGTCTTCATCCACTTTAACTGCTACAGCGAAACACCAGGCCAGGTGATTCATAGAGAACAGAAGTCTCTTTGGCTCTTGGTTCTGGAGGCTGGGAAGTTGGAGAGAATGGAGCCAGCCTCTGTGTCTGCTTGCTGCATTGTGACATGGAGGGGGGGCGTCACATGTGAGACGAGGAAGTGTGCCAGAGAGAGCTCCTGTGTAGCAAAGCCTCTCCTGCGATAACCTTTAATCCATTCATCCACGGGTACATGAATCTGCATGACCTGACCACCCCCAAAGGTCCCACCTCTCAACACTGCTGTGTTGGGGACCAAGTTTCCTACATGTGAACTTTGGGGGAAATGTTCAGACCACAGCAGAGGTTGACCCCTCACAAAGCCACCATTGCAGGCCTCTGTCCATCCCACCTCATAACCAGGCCAAGTGGATCTGAGGACCTCAGTGCAGCCATGGTGGGAGGCTGCTCATGGGCCTCCTGAGGCCAGCATGCATGGGAGGAGGAGGCCAGGCCATGCCCAGCATTCGCAGGGCCCTTCCTCCATCTCTCCTCACAGGTCTGAGCTGGCTGCAGTGGCCTCATCGAGCTGAGGAACACAGCCCACCCGTTTGGCCCCCACGGCAAGAAGGACTCCCTTTCCTCTCTGCCATAACTGTCACCTTCTCCTGACCCTGACTGAAGCTGGGAACCTGGCACCACACCCTGGCATTTACATGTTCCTTGTGCTCAGAGCTCCATAGAGGAGACCAATAGTGAGAGTCAAATAATGCACAATTGGCATTAATCTGATGCTGTTTGGGAAACAGATAAATATGTGCTCAGAAAATTGTGCAAAAAGGAGTCTCAGTCTTAAGTAATTTGGCCTAACTAAAAGGTTTGCCAGGCTCCATTCTCCTAAATTATGCTTTGCAGCAGCGCTGTCCAGTGCAAATATGACTGAGCCATATTTTTAATTTAAAATTTTCTAGTAGTTGCGTTAAGAAAAATAAAAAGAAACAGGTAAATTAATCTGAATAATGCATTTTATTGAATCCAACATATCTAAAAATCTTATCCTTTCAGCTTGTAATTAACATTTTTTTTTTTTTTTCCTTTCAGGACTGGGATGGAACCCAGGGCCTCACACATCCTGGGCAAGTGCTCCACCACTGAGCTACAGCCCCAGCGTTACATAACAATTTTTTTTTAGAGCTTTATAGTTATACATAGTAGTTGGGTTCATCCTGACAAACTCATATATGCATAGAGATCTATTTCAGTTCACGATCCTCCCATTCTCTCTCCCTTGTTCCATCTCCTTCCTCTCTACTTGACTTCCTTTCGCTAGTCTATTAATTTACATGTGATTGATTCTTTATGTTGTCCCACCCTTCTCTCCCCATTTCCTTTATTTTACTCTAGCTTCCACATAGGAGAGAAGACATTTGACGTTTGAGTTTGTGAATTTGACTAATTTCATTTAGCATGATATCCTCCATTCCAGTTCTACTGGCAATGCCATAATTGCATTCTTTTTTATGGCTGAGTAGAATTCTATTGTGTGTGTGTGTGTGTGTGTGTGTGTGTGTGTATCACAATTTCTTGATCCATTTATCTATTGACAGGCATCTGGGTTAATTTCATAATTTAGCTGTTGCGAATTGTGGTGTTGTAAACATTGATGTTTGCTGTGATATGCTGCTTTTAGATCTTTTGGGGAAATACCGAGGAGTGAGCTACATAACAATTGTTAATAAGATGTTGTGCATTCTTTTTTTCATACTCTTTGAACGGTGGTGTGTATATTGCACTTTTGGCACTTCCCAATTCAAACTAGTCCCATTCGAGTGTTCAATAATTACATGTTGCTAGTGGCTATAGTCTGCCTAGCAGAGCCTCTTAGACTTAAGCAAGTTATTTAGGCTCTCTCAGCCTCAGTTTCCTAATCTGATGAATGGAAACGGTAATAGTGCCTAGATAATACAGTCAAAGGGCTTGCAGCAGCCCTGGATCTGGAAGTTTTTCAGTTAGTTCTCATTGATGATATTGTTACCAGTCTACTCCAGGTGCTGAGTCTGAAAAGGACCTTAGTCAGGAAGTAGTGGGGCAGGAGGGTCTGAGGGCACCCACGGGGTGTGCTCCAAGCTTCCCCGACTCCCTCAGTACCTCACCTTGGTTCCTTTGCTGACCCACAGGAGTTGCTGATTGTCATTCCCCACTCTGATGTTGGCTTTGAGAAGCAGCCTCCACTAACATGGTTCCTGTGTCCACCCTGGTGTTAGCGTTCACTGGCCTTTGTCCTTGGCCTCCTGTCTGGGTCTGCCCTATGCTCTCTAGTACTCTTAGTGCCTCCCACAAGGAGGCCACAACCCAGCAGAGTTATGATCTTGGGGCCTGGAGAGGAGGTTTTGTCTAAAGCAGAGAACCTTACCTCTGATCTCTAGGGACTCTTTGTGAGTTTGCTTTGGGCCATGAGTAAAGTTTATTCGGACCCAGCTGGCCTCTGCGGAGCACTTAACATGTGGGGCTAACAGCAAGCCCACGCTGTTGGTATCACTGCCCCATTTAACACATGAGGAAGGCGAGGCCCAGAGAGACCAGGTGTCCTGTCCAAGGGCACACAGTGGGTGAGCAGTGGGGCCAGCATCCAGTTCTCAAGACTCCATTTGGACAGAGGCCAAGAGCATGAGGCAGGATCTCCTGTATGGTGATTGGCCACTTGGCCATTTTCGGTCATTTGCAAATATGGCCCTCTCTAGCGGCTCTAGAGGTGATGCTGTCCAGAGCAGAGCAGCTCAGCCTTGCTAGTCACTGCAATTGGTATTACCTGGCACTCAGCAAGCCTTCAGTGAACTCGCCGGAGCTGAGCATCAATATTTCCTCAGCCCCTGCTGGGATTGGTGAGCTCCTGGGAGGAAACAAGTTCCTGTCGATAAGGGGCCAAGGCCTGAAGGGAATGGCAGCCCTGGCTGTGGGCCCTACGCTGTGGGCCGCTGGGCCTAACGGGGTCTCACGGAAGACTTAAATGGTCCCTGAGCCTCACTCCAGGATCTAGACGAGGATGAGGCTGAGGCTGAGGGAGTGGGTGGATGTCTGTTTTTTCATAGTACTTGTGAATCATGTCGAAAGTTGAAAACATAAAATTAATTTTTTAATTTAATTTTTTGAATACATAAAATATTCTCACGGTTAAAAAAAAATTTAGAGTGAAGCATCTCCCTCTAAGCGCCCCCTCTGCCTCCCATCCTTAACCGCAACCACTTTTATTTGTTCTTTTGGTTAGCTTTAGTTTCTTTTGAAAAGGCAAGTCACTTTAAAAAAAAAAATCCCTCCTCCTTCTCCAGTGTTTTATACCAAAGGAAT